CACTATATATATAAGAGGACATCACTGACATGATATATGTATTGTAAAACCAATCATTTGCTTCTCAAAAAATAAGCAATTGCAAACTTTGTCTCCCATCCCCAGAAAACAAAAAGAAAAGGTGAGATGTCATCTTCCAACGTCGGAACAGAAGTGTTCATCAATTTCCGAGGCGAAGAGCTGCGTAACAACTTTATCTCCCATCTACATGACGCTTTGCACCGCATGGGGATCAAGGCTTTTATAGACAGTGATGAGCCACCGGGTGAGGATCTTGATATATTTTTTAAAAGGATTGAGCAGTCCAAGGTCGCACTGGCAGTCTTATCGAGTAGGTATACAGAGTCACATTGGTGTTTGGAAGAGCTGGCGAAGATAAAGGAGTGTGTGGATCGAAGCTCTCTACGGGTTATTCCAATCTTCTATAACGTGGACCCAACCACGGTGAAAGAGCTCGATGGAGATTTTGGTCTTAAGCTATGGGATTTATGGAGGAAGGACGGTCGAGACAACCGGATCCTGAAGTGGGACGCCGCTTTGCAGGACGTTGTGGACAAGATTGGCATGGTGTTGGGAATCCGGTACGTATTGCTTTAGATTAAAACTATATTATCATGTCTATATAAGGTTTGATTACAGTAGTATATAGTGTCTTTCTTTTTGGGGTCAATGGTATTATTAACACGTTTTAAAAGAAGAGAAAAAACCTTGGAATTGAAGTCAGTTGAATGGCTCTTAGTTTTGAGAATAATGGCTTGAACTCGCAGAATTTTAGAATTTCTTTGAAGAAGATGCAGTGTATGGTTTTTCTTTTGGTCAACATATTTTTTCTTAATTTGATAGTGTGCGGCGAAAACTTAGTTAATAAATTTAGTGTAGTTTGATTACATAAAATATTTAAAAACTAATATGAATGTACAATAACAAAATAATGTATATATTAAATCTATAGGATTATTTTGGTTTTAATCTATACGATATGTAGAGTTCTTTTATCGGAATGAGTTTCATTCATCTATAAATGTTTTAGAACAACATATTTCATACTTAAATGACAAACAATCATATACATTATTATGCATAATATGCACTTTCTAATACTACTAAGTTTGAAGATTTCAAAGTGCTTCTCAATAACAAGTAAGGGGGTTTATTGTGTTTGCATGATTTAAATTTGGTAAAGATTCATGTATTAAATCGTTAAAATTACTTTTTCAAAACTTCCAAATTTCAAGAAACATAACCACACATCTCAAGTTTGAAAATGGATTATGTGTTACACCAATTACATGTAGTGCATCTGTGCATGTTCACATATAACATAATACATATGACATGACATAAATACTATAAATATCATATTCTGATATACACCGGACGTCACCACAAACACCGGTCATATGAGAATATGACACTTATCACAAACTAGAAAAAAAAAAGACGCTAGCTCAAAAACCTAAGACACATAAAATGGCCGTCACCAAAATACTAGCTATTACCTTTTTTTCCAAGAATAAATTTTGCATTAGATTTATACATGTTTTTGAAAAAATGGTCGATAACCTCTTTTGATTCTATAATATGCCCAAAATGACTTATGTTGGGAACTGATCAGGAGTTAAAAAGTTAGTCTATTTTCTAAACCAGCAATTGATGTGTTATTTGAGATAATTGAAAAATAAAATAATGAATATCTATTTTTTTTATATGTAAATATCTAACAAATTAATTCTTCAGTTGACTATATATAAAAAAATGTTTGAGACATTTTATAAAAAATTCAAAAATATCAAAATTTGTTGCATATGGACTTCTTTTAAATTTTAATTTGTTGCATATTGTTTGACTTCGCTTACATGGGTTCCTCTCTGTTTCTCTGCAGGAACGAATCCGAGTTCGTGAATGATATCGTTAAACACGTTCAGAATGCCCTAGAGCCGAAGGCAGCTCTAACCGAGCACCAAACAGTATCAAACCCTAAACCTAAAGAAGCCTCTAACGGTAACGGAGCACCAAGAAGTATCAAATCAGGCGGACAACGCTTGACACAATTAGAAGAAAAGTTGGATTTGGATTGCAATGAAAACAAAACCCGCTATGTAGGAATTGTCGGGATGGCTGGTATCGGCAAAACCTATCTCGCCGATAAACTGTTCCAAAAGTTGAAGACGAAGATCGGCTGTAACGTGTTCCTGAAGCTTGTCCGTGAGAAGACAACCGATGAGGACCTGTATTTGGAGAAGAGGCTTGTGGAAGGGTTACTGAATAAAACTATAAATTTCAGTAGTAAAAATCCACTTGAGGAACGGAAGAATGACCTAATCCAGAAGAAAGTTGTGGTTGTTTTGGATAATGTGAGTGACCAGAAAGAGATCGAGCCGTTTCTAGGGATTTGCAACTGGATTAAGGAGGGGAGCATAATCGTCATCACTACACGGGACAAGTCACTGCTCAAAGGAATGAACTGCGATATCTATGAGGTCCCCAAAATGAACGACAGAGAGAGCTTAGAGCTCTTTAAAGATCGAGCTCAAGTCTGTAGCAGTACTAATTTTGAAGAAAATTTCATGGAGCTGTCTAAGAAGTTCGTGGATTATGCGGGAGGGAACCCATTAGCACTCAAGAATATTGGTAAGGAGCTCTACGCGAAAGAAAAGGATCACTGGGAAGAAAGACTTAGAACACTGACACAGTGTTCCAACCCTAAGGTCAGAGAGAAGTTAAGAAGCTCTTATGATGAACTAAACGAGCAGCAGAAGGATGTGTTTCTTGATATAGCCCATTTCTTCAGATCAGAAGATGTGAAGTATGTTACAAGTTTACTTGATTCTTTTGACCCTGGATCTGCCGAAGCTGGGAAGGAACTAATTAAAGGTCTCGTAGACAAGTTCTTGATTAGCGTATGTGATGGTCGGGTTGAGATGCATAATCTACTCTTAACAATGGCTAAGGAACATGTTGGAGATACCGCAGGGAAATACTGGCTGTGGTCGTCGAATTGTGAAGAGTTTACTAGTGCGTTGAGTAACATAGAGGTGAGATAAGGAAATTTGAAACATTATCATACATTGCCAGTGTTTTCTTTATGTATGTGCTGCAATAACTTTTTGTACCTCTTACTTGATGAACAGGGAAAAGACAAGGTTAGAGGAATTATCATAGACATGTCTAATGTGGAGGAAATGCCCTTAGACAACCAAGCCTTTGTTGGTATGAGCAGTCTACGGTACCTGAAAGTGTGTGATACTGGCCATAGTGAAGCTCAGTGCAAGTTGAACTTACCCGATGTACTTGAATTCCCAAAAGATAATATTGTCCGCTATCTTAACTGGGTGAAATTCCCAGGAAAGGAACTTCCATCAGACTTCGAACCCACAAATCTTATCGATCTTAGGTTGCCTTACAGTAAGATTACCAGTGTATGGAAAGATGCTAAGGTTTGTATCTCTTTAATTAGTTTAAACTTAGATTGGACTGGCTTTGTGTAGTTTTTGTGACTAATGGTGGAATTCTTTTTTGTCATCACAGGTTGCACCAGAACTGAGATGGGTTGATCTCAGTCACTCGAGTAACTTGAGTTCCTTGTTAGGATTATCAGAAGCACCAAAACTTTTGAGATTAAACCTCGAAGGCTGCACGAGTTTGAAAGAGTTACCAGAGGAGATGCAAAAGATGAAGAAACTCGTTTCCCTAAACCTAAGAGGATGCACAAGTCTCTTGTCTCTGCCAAAGATCACTATGGATTCCCTGAAGACTCTCATTCTCAGCTGCTGCTCAAAATTTCAGACATTTGAGGTGATTTCAAAGCATCTAGAAACTTTGTACTTAAACAACACTGCAATAGATGAACTTCCTCCGACCATTGGTAATCTCCATGGACTTATCTTCTTGGATTTGAAAGACTGCAAAAATCTGGCGACTCTTCCTGATTGTCTTTGGAAGATGAAATCTCTTCAAGAACTCAAACTCTCTGGTTGCTCAAAGCTCAAGAGTTTCCCTAATGTTAAGGAGACCATGGTAAATTTGCGGATTTTGCTGCTTGATGGAACATCAATTCCACTGATGCCAAGCAAAATTTTTGACTCATCCTTTCTGAGGCGTCTATGCTTAAGCAGGAATGAAGAAATCTGCAGCCTACTATTTGACATGAGTCAACTGTTCCATCTGAAATGGCTCGAGTTGAAGTATTGTAAGAACCTTACATCTCTTCCGAAGCTTCCACCGAATCTTCTGTGCTTAAATGCACATGGTTGTAGTTCACTAAGAACAGTTGCGAGTCCACTAGCCAGTCTTATGCCAACAGAGCAGATTCATTCCACCTTTATTCTTACTGACTGTCACAAACTGGAACAAGTCTCAAAAAGTGCTATCATATCTTACATTCAGAAGAAAAGCCAGTTGATGTCAAATGATCGACATAGTCAGGTATATATCCTCTTTTTTCTCATTTTTTCATTTAACTATACTCAAACATCCAAAGTTTAATTTATGATTTTCCTTTGACATTACTTTAACTTGTAGGATTTCGTTTTCAAGTCCTTAATTGGTACTTGCTTTCCTGGATGTGATGTACCTGTATGGTTCAACCACCAAGCACTTGGGTCAGTCTTAAAACTGGAGCTGCCTCGAGATGGGAATGAAGGAAGATTAAGTGGTATATTTCTATGTGTTGTAGTCTCATTTAAGGAGTATAAAGCCCAAAATAACAGTCTCCAAGTGAGATGCACCTGTGAGTTTAGTAGTATATCCCGGGAAAGCTTCATTGTTGGTGGTTGGTCCGAACCAAACGAGGAGTTGCATACGGTTGTGTCGGACCATGTCTTCATTGGCTACTCCACTCTGTTTAATAGCAAGCAACGTAAACAGTTTTCATCAGCTACTGAAGTATCCCTTAGATTTGAAGTGACAAATGGTACAAGAGAGGTTGCAGAATGTAAGGTGATGAATTGTGGCTTCTCTTTGGTTTATGAGTCTGATGAAGCTGAGAGCGCAACTTGGGAGGCAAATCTTATGGAGAACAGTACAAAAGGCAATAAAAGGTTGCCAAAAACCTTCAGTTTTCCTTGGAATAAAGCCCAGCACTCGAACAAAGGATCTCATTTTCATTGAGAGTTCTGTTTCAAGAAACTTTGGTATTGAATCTAAATGATGTCTCTGTTACAAGATAGCAAAGTCGGCATGTGTACAAAGTGGATGCATTCAAATAAAGTATCAGAAAAACAATCTCGGAGGAGAGGCAATAAAGCAATAAGCAAGAGGCTATGCTCGCTGAGGAAGCATATGGCTTCTTCCTCTTTTGCTATCTGAGTAGGTGTGTGATATGGTATCTGTTGTCATGCGGAAACTCTATCACCTTTTGGCATTGTTTTCTCGAAACATTCTAAAATAAACGAGACCAAATTGTTTTTTCATTCTCGAGCAAATAGAAGAAATTTTAACCAAAGAAAAATATGGAAAAAAGCTTCCTGGCCAAAATGTTCTTCTCATTTTCGAAGCAAGGCTAAATATTTTGTTTGATATTTATTCTAATATGTTATTTTTGATAAGGAACTCATTAAATCAATTTGATCGTTGAGAATTTTAGCTGTTAATGTATTCTTATTTAGCAAGTAACAGTAGCTTGTCATCCACGGACACAAAACAGAGCAAGAGAAATACAGAGTTGATATTCACAATCCAAATGAACTAAAACCAACCCAGCCGTATTATGTTCCTATACTTCTCTTTTCTTATAGCATAGGTAAAAAATATTGAACATCATTTTCTTCTACTTTCTGTCAAATGTCAAATAACAAGACTCTGATCTGAGTTTCAAGCTCTATTTAGGGTAATTCTGCAATCCCTTACTTTTTAAAGACATGTCTTGGAGAAACCTTGAAAGTTTGAGCATCTCAATACTCTTCAACATAGTAAATCATTTTATTTTTCTTATGAAAAGCTCTCTGTGTTATCCTCAGGTTCCAGCTCTACTAACGTGGAGAACACCATTGATTCAAATTTTGTTTCTCTTAAGCCGCCTTCTGGATCAAGTCTTTTTATTTCCTCTAGAATCTCTTTACGTTTGAGTCTCGTGCAACCAGAAAGATTTAGAAGTTGAAGATTCTTTAGCTGATCAATGTGTGGGATGCTCTCCAAGCTTGTACAACCTTGAAGATCTATTTGCTCAATACTACAAGCTTTCATAAGTACATCAACTTCAACTAGTTTCTGAGAATGGCTAAGATTTATTATCTTCAACTTCACCAGACTCTGTAAAACATAACAAAACACATAAATTAATAGCTCAATTAAGGTAAGAATGACCAAAAAAAAACAACTCTGGTTCTTGGATTTAACCCAACCTTGGTTCCTTCCCAGAGATTCTGAAGCTGACTATAAGGCATATTGAGTTCAACAAGGTGTCTAGGATCAAAGTCTTCAGGCAACGATCGCAACGGATACTTTTCCCAGTGAAGTAGCCTGAGCTCATAAGGCAAAGAGCGGAGTCTCTTGGGAAGATGGAATTCTTGAGCACTTTCAGAGTTTGAACTGTAGATCTTCAACAGTCTAAGATTATACATATTCTCAAAGGCCTTAGGATTAACATCAACGGTTAAGTTTGTTGTGTCTAGAAAAATTCCTTCAATAACTTCAGTGCCCTGAAATGAAAAAAACACACACACACAAGAGGATCAGATTGATAAAAATTTAAAGGTCATGCAAACAGATTTAGACCAAACCTAATAATTTAGAGCAAGAAAAATAATGGAACTAACTGCCATTAACCGAAACGAAGTTTCCAATGTCCCTCCCCAACTTGCAAATAGTAGGAATATCAGAATGTGACCAGTATAGCTAGTACCTTAGGTTTATTTTCTTTTAGAAATGATTTAATGCTTGAAGGCTCCCACAATCTGCGATGCCTTGCGATTTGATTTTTTTCTTCATTGACGATATTCCGAGCAACATCCTGAATCAAAAATTGCATCTCAACTTTGTTGTTCTTCGATATCATCAATAAAGACCGTTCTACGAGATGTTCAATACCAACGTGTGGGAAGAAACCACACCCTTCAAGTATACGAATGACATAATCGAGGTTTTCACCGTTAAAGAAACAAGCAATGTCTAAGAATATGCTCCTCTCATCTTCACTGAGCACATCATAACTGCTCTTGAACACATGCATAATCTCCTGTGGAGGACATTGCTTAATCATCTCGAATTCGGCCACCATTTCTTCCGGTTTCTTCTTCCCCAGCTCTCTGCCATAGAGACAGAGAGCTAAAGGATTCCCATTAGCATACTCAACGACCTTCTTTGACACTTCTACACGATTACTATCACTTGGTTCTTTTTCTGAAAACGCAAACCGTGTGAATAACCGTTGAGCCTCCTTCCTGTTTAAAGCCGGTATCTCGTAAATACTATCAACCTGACACTGATGAAGAACTTGTTTATCTCGGGATGTTACGATTATTAAACTTTCGGGACCAAAACAATGATCAAATCCTCCTAGGAAAGACTCAGCATCCATTGGATTGCGCACATCATCAAGAACAACAAGAACTCTTTTCTCTCTTAGTTTGTCGATCAAATATTCTTCCCGTAATACGTATAATCCCTTCTCATTAAACGCTACGTGGAAGTCTTGGATGAAGCACTGAGTTTCAAAGAGTGTTTAAGTTAATTGGTTATAAAGGATTCTTGGAGAAATGGCGTTTTTGCCCAAATCCAAGGGATACCTCTAATCCCTTAATCCGGTATAAGTCAAGGAGAATTGCTTGTAAAAGCAAGTTTTGTTTTCCCTAGCATACTTCCGAGTAGTACCCGGTTATTACCTTGTTGGACACAACGTTTTGCCCGCACATCCGCTACGGATATGTTTGTACCAACTGCCGAGTCACTGCAAGTTGTTAACAGGAGTTATCTTTTGATAGTAACTTTTCCTTCTCTCCAAATATCATTCATCAAGTAACCGTGTATATTAATAGTACATATCCTAGAAAAATGTAACCATGTATGAATACATAGGATGGGAGATATGACTAAAGTATTACCGTTGATAGTAACGGTTTTACAATACGAAAATCATCACTTTTCAATATTAGCATATTACACTTGTGACTTGTCTATGATGAAACTATAATAACTGAGTAACTGACGGCTGTGTTCTGACTGAAATTGGCTGAAAATGTAAAATATTTTATAGCACATTCCTATATTTATCAATCCTAATAGATTTGAAGTCACTAGTTGTTTTAACAAACAAAAATGGTCATCACAAAGAAAATATTCAAGAAAACAAAAAAACTCAAATCTCCGTAAATTAAATAATATCTTATTAATTAGTTTTTAACTATGTTGCATGGAAACTCTCTTCGAGGTCCGTTTCCCGTTTCTGAAACGTTTCGGAAACGGAAACTCTTCGGAAACACGAAAAACGTCACGGAAACACGTTTCCTAAAAATCTATGTTTGGAAACACGATGGAAACTCACGTTTCCAAAATGGAAACGCGACAAATTCTTTTTATTGACTTTGGAAACTTAATAAATAAAAGTTAAAAATATTAAGATTTATAATACATATAACTAATTTTGGAAGACTCTGAGTTTTAAGATCTTTCTATCGACAAACTAGATTTGGAGGCATCTTTATATGATCTATGATGAAACTAATAAAAATGAGAATGAAAATATTGGTCTAAATTACATATTTGAACTTGAATCTTTTAATCTTTATCTTTTAAAATTTTAGTTAACCTATTTAATATTGATGTTTGGGACTTGTATTGTTTAATTAAACCATTTTTTATAGTTTTATGTTAATGTGATTAGCCGT